AAAGAAAGTAATTTATTTACACCAAACCAATTATACATAAAAGCAGTCATTAGATTTATGTTGAAAAGCTCTTATTACAAAGAACAAATTGTCCATGGGCTAAATACTAGACATGCGGTACAAAATAATGTGGAGCTACAAAATCCCAAACATGCAATGTGCCAAAAACATATACAGGGTGATTCAAAAGTAAGCGGCATCCTTTCGGGGGCGTATTCCTTGCATAAAAATAATACAAAAAGTTCCTATTAACATGGGTCCGGAAATGCTTCCTAAGGGAGCTACGCCCCTTCGAATAGGACACCTGAAAGACGTATTTTTCTCTATAGGTAACTTTGAAACCCTTCACAAATGGATTTTGAAAATTGGTGTATTTTATAAACATTTGATGGCAATTAAGATACTAAATTGAGAATTTCATACATCTGTCAAAACTGTCATTCCAACAATAAACTGACATGTTTTGATTGTTGATTTGAACCAATCAGATTGTAATTACGCGATAATTTGCACTAGTGCAAATTATCAGATAATTGCATCCTAACTGGTGCGAAAACTGGTGTTTTGACATTTTTTGACAAAAAATTTAAATTTTTGATTTATGAAATTCTCTCATTACATACAACTCGTGCAATGGAAATATATCTATAATTTCCATTGCACTAGTTATATTACTATTGAAAATTCAAAAATCGTGATCAGTGGCGTCACATACTGGGGAGGGAGAGGGTTAAAACCGAGGTTAAAACTTCCCTATTTTCTTTACTCGTCAGGTTTTTGCGTAACATACACAAATCAGAAAATTTTCAAAGTCAATTTTCTCGTAAACGGTACGCTGTATCGAATTGAACCAAGAGTACCTATTCTGTGTAAAAAACCCTAAACTTTCCGAATTTTCAATCAGAATCGCAAAAACCGGACGAGTAAAAAAAATAGGGATGTTTTAACCCTCACCCTCCCCAGTATCTGACGCCACTGATTAAGATTTTTGAATTTTCAATTTAGTATCTTAATTGCCATCAAATGTTTATGAAATACCACCAATTTTCAAAATCTATATGTTAATAGGAACTTTTTGTCTTATTTTTATGCAAGGAATACGCCCCCGAAAGGATGCCGCTTACTTTTGAATCATCCTGTATACTGTGTAGGGCCAAAGGTGTTCAACTCACTTCCCCAGGAATTGAGAAATAAGACATATAAATCTGTTAAAAAGTTAATTAATAAGTGGAGAGTAACTTTACGGTTGAATATATTATTTAAAACTGATAAATAATCTAAAAATAACTATGTATATCTACCATTACATTAACAACACACAGCTATTAAAAGTTGGATACCTTAGCTACTTAGTATAAGAATAAATATATTATTTTTTTTATATTTTTGATCTCACTTTTCATGTTATTTCATAATCATAGTATTAATAATATTAATAAAACCTCAAATGGCAAAACTTATTAAAGTCATAACAGCGCACACACAGTATTATAAATATTATCGTGCGCTGAAATTTCTTGTTAGCAATATGGAGAGGTAAAGAATAGGCATAGTAGTTAGCTAATTATATTATATGTGTATATTAAATATTTTATTTATATAAAATTCATCACGTCTTTAAAGTCTGCTGCAGATTTTTCTACGCCCCGTATGTTAAATCAAAACGCGTGAGGTGTACAATCAGAAGTGTATACTGATTGAGATGTTCAGTTAGTTTCGGGATAAAGCTAAAAATGTAATCAATTAATTAATATGTATAAAAAGAAAGAAATCTTTAATAAATTATTATTCTCATGACAATAGTCTTGGAAGTGATACCTACTAACGAGCCTACTAATAATAATATAAAAAGCCTTTGAATACAGAGGACACTATTTCAAATGCAAATTATATAGGTAGGTGGGTACCTGTTTAAGTTAATTAACAATTATTACTACCTTGAAAAAAAATAGGCAATTATTTGTATTTTGTTTCATGCATTCAGTAACGTGTATTTAAGTACTCAATTAAAAACACAATTCATTCGATAGTGGCAACATAAAACTGCAAATTGAATAAACTTACAAAGCCAATAGTATAGTATATAAGTCGTCAACATAGAAACTGTAATATTTGTTTATTTGCAAGCATAGAAGCAAAAATGAGTTTTAACATTAATATTTAAAATATAAAGGACTAAATATTTGGAGAATGAATAATTAATGCAAGACTGTTACGAGCAAGTTTATAAATTAAGTAGCAATTACTATTATTATAATCATCATTGGGCTGTAAAAATGATAAAATTAGGCACAAATGCTTTGATTTGGGGTCACTGGGCTTATCATTCATTAAAAATTCCATGACATGCCCCTTAGATAGCTTTTTTTTAATTTTCGTTATCGGGCAGGTTCAAGCTGCAAACCTGCTTTATGCATTTGAAACACATCAATACAAAGATGGATGCAAAGTAACCGCGCATACAAGCAGATTGGGTCGATAAGTAACTAAAACTTAAAATATCTTTTAATTGTTTTATGACAAATGAAGACAAATGACACTGAGCTATAATTTGAAAGTTCAAGATAGGTAGGTATTTAGCAAAATGTATTTGATTTAGCAGAATATCAGGTGGTGTCTTGAGATTCCGATATAGGATGTGGAAATCGTGCAAATTTAATTGGTCAATTTGAACCTGCCTCATCAATTATTTATTGAATTAGTAGCAGTAGCAACCTTCTTGCTGTTTACTTTTATTTTTATAAACCTAACTGAGGAGTATTATTATTTGTCATATTCAACTTTAAATTATTTAAGTGTAGACATATCAATTGAAAACCTACCCAAAATAACAGGCTACAAAATCGAAAACACTTCAACAACGCTGATGATGCAGATCTTGTTGCCTCAGAGGACTACCTGCAGAGATCACTCTAATCCTTTAATCAAACAGTAAAACTTTCAAATAAAGACGTTAACACAAACAAAACCCAATGTCTAGTAACATCTAAGGAGCCAAGGTGCAAATCAGGGATTGATTACAAGATTGTTAAGCGGGTACCTAAGGTAAATGCACCAGTGATTGACAGTGCTCCAGTAATTACCACTTAAAGGTAAATGTTATCAAAACAAGCTAACTCGACGTCCCATAGCCATTCTCAATAAAAAAACCTCATTAATATGATATTTGGCAACACTCTACCAGCTATGGAAGAAATTAGCTGATATCTGCCAGTTATTTTAAAATGTGAAAAGATTTGTTAAGGAAAACAAATCAAATATTATTTTTTATTCCTAAATGGATCAATGTTTAATTTATTCCCTATGTTTGAGGGCAGAGTTTAAGTATGATTGAAAGGTTTTTTAATGTGTATTTATTAGTAAAACACGTTATCTGAGATTGGCATGGATGTGAAAGACTGCATCAAGTGATTATGGCCATGTACCAATTATTGACTGATGTGTCAATGAATGGATCTCGTAACAACTTTAACGCAATTCATTGCAAATCATTTCAATATTTGGCAGGACGCTCACATCTTAATATGAGGCCGAGGTCGTTTTTGTCATCTTTTTCGTCGAAATTTTGACAGGCACGTGACTGGATAAGACAGTCTCAGTTCACCAATCATGTCCCTGTCAAAATTTCGGAGCAAATCGACGAATAAGATGACGAAAACGAACTCAGCCTGAGCTTAAAAAAATCACTGGTTCCAGTTATTGACATGGGTGTCAATTATTGGTACACAGGGTGTCAATTACTGGAATTTCATTTATCAGTAGCTGTGGCTTATTATTACTCATTTTATATACCTAAAAAAAAAAAAAAGTTTTTTGTGTCTATTATTGGATAATAGGATACTGGGTCCCCAAAGATACATTTAAATTCCAGTCTAATTGTGTCAATTATTGGTGCATTTACCTTATATCACTGTAAATATCTGGGAGCGAAATAGACGAAGCAGTACCACCTACCCTAATGAAGGGGCCATGAGAAAAATTAAAATACTTAAATAACAATTTATTTTATAAGCAAGTAATTTCAAAAAAATATTGCAAAATGAAAATATTTAGGTGATTAGAAGTCCTAAGTGCTTTCCACTGTGTAATTGGATATTCGAATGTACAATGAAAAACTGAAGTCGGATTCAGAAATTCGCAATGCGGATATTGTGCAGATAATTTGGTATTTATAGACAGTGATGAAAAAGATTTACGAATACATTTGGATGTGTGGATTGAAAATATTATGAAAAAAAAGAGAAGGGTAAATTTTAGCACAATGGGCCTACTGCGGCCTGAGTGCTGTGGTATCTACCACCCTCCCATACTCACAGAAGGTAAATAATTGGATAGAGGACATATATTGATCTTTATCTTATTTTTTATCCATTTATTGGGCTCAGTTCATTGAGAAACTGTCAATATAAAAAATATAATAATAATACATATAGTAAACACATGGCAATTTTGTCCTTCAACAATTTGCTCTATCCTTTCATAAACAAGTTAATTTTCATCAAAGTGTGTATTGTTTCTAATGATAATAACTATTCTTCAACACAAAACTGTTGTTCGAATTTGCAACTCTGATATCAACCAAAAAAATTTGAAACATGACCTTGGTTTTAGTATCGACGCATTTCACTATTATTTTCTTAGTTTAATCTTTGATTCTAATTGCCTAATAAAAACAAACAATTTTATGCTGCTTTATTTCACTAACTTAACGATTTTTTGACACGTGGGTAGAAACAAATCGAAATTCCAGTAACTACTGGAATAAAATTAAATTACAATGCAGGCTATTCTTAGAATATATTTGGTGAATCAACCATTTATGTTAGACATTTAATATTAGATATTATGCATCGGTTTTTATTTTTGCTTCTGGTTAACAATGATGCATAAAATAATTTATTAAAACATTTCAATATAGGTACTAGAACTACATCCTAATTGGGCTTAAGGGATTTTCTGGATTTTTTGTCAGGACTTGAAATTTGAAAATAACTTCTTACCTTCTCAATACTTTTATTTCATTTTCCAGTGAGTCTTCTTTTCCTTTGAGAGCCTTCTTGTCAATTATTTTAACTGCATACATTTCACCTCTGCGCTCTTTGCTTTCTGCTATTCGGACAGTGGAAAAAGCACCTCTGCAAAAAACATGCAATAAATCAAAAAATAATTTATGCATCATTAAAAAAAAAATAGAATATAAAGTGACCACATTATTGTTTGAGTTGTCTTATGTTTTACTCAAGGTTTCACCATCAGTTGCGATGATAACCTTAATGATCAAATTAATTTCGGATATTCTCTTAGGGAAAGTAAATATGTCAACATCCACCACAAAGTTTTTGAAAAATATCTTTTTTTGATTTAGAGAGTCCATTCTGGAGCCCAAAATATAGCTAAAAATGGTTGTTGTGCACAATTATCTGAAATTATGAAATTTATCAAATTCTGGTGAGGACATATTATAAGACTCTTGTCTACCCTTCTCATGTACCTAATATTTGTTGTATTTATTTTTTAATGAATTAATTTTTATTTAAATTTTGTATGAATTTGAATTTGGGTAAATTGAAAAAAAAAATAAGAATATTCTTCATCCAAAACTGCACTAGCAAATATAATGGAAATAAAAATAGTTCTAAATTTAACAATGGAATTTATGATGTGACCATAAATTTTCTTCAAGGAAAATTTCCCCAGCTCTTGGAAATGTGAGTAATAAATAACTGTAATCATGGGGAAACCGTATTAAAATGTTCGAAGTTTTGTTAGTTTTTTATTAGACTGACATAGTTATTGTTTTAGGGCTCAAGAAGGAAATTTTCTCTCTTGAATAAACAAAATAAGTTGTTTGTTGTTTAGACAAGAGAGTGATATGACATCCTATATAAAACATCTATTTTTTTTTTCAATAGGTAAGTATGCAAAATCTCGTGCATAAAAAATAATTAGAAAAAGAAATCAATATTCGCTCCACTTGATGTGGATATTTGGATCAATAATCTGTAAAATAAGGCATTTTTCAATAAGCCCTTCAAGTTAAGGAAATATTCGACGCACTTTATACGTCTGGAAAGCTTGCTAATAAGCAATATGTTTGAAAATTTACAAATCAAATACTAATTTTCCACGTTTTGTATCAATACTGGTAAAAATGTTTTGGAATTTTGTGTGAAAGAAAATTAGCCCATGTATACTATGGGCCTCTCAAATAAATAATGGTGAAAGTCATAAAGACCCCAGTCCAGGGGCAATAACAACCTTAATTAAATGCTTTATTAATTCCAAGAAATCTTCACAAACGCACACAAATACCAATGAAAAATGTACCTATTTTCGCAAGTTAGCTGCCTCTAAGAATCAAGATATTTCCTATTCCTAGAAAACTCGCTAGAAAAAATACATTTTTTTTTTGTGGGCATAGGTATGCTGCTTAAAAGTAAATTGTTTACAGTCATTAAAAAGGGGAATAAATAGGAAAATTCGAGGTAAAATTTAAAAGAATCTAAAATAAATACTTATTACTTATTACTTACACTTTCTAGATTATATTGTGGAGAAATAAAAAGACTATTTGCTTTGGAACTGAAGACAGATCCCAAGTATTTTCTGAACATACCAAATTATAAACTGTGCTTGAAATGTCTCTTAAAAAATACATTCTATTTCTAATGGTATTAGAATGTAAAATAGTAGTTTATATGAATGAAAAAACCTCAGAAATAACACTTAAAATCTCCATGTTTCAATCTTTGGCTCAATATGGCATAATTTTCTGGGGACGACAATGACGACATAATCAAAATAAGAATATTTTTGTTAGCCAAAAATGCGTGATTAGAATAACTTACAGAACTAATTATCTTGAATCATGCCGCACCGTATTTATAAATAGGTACTTACTGGTATCCTCGCTGGTATCTTAATAATATATAGTTTTTCGGTACTTATACAGATGTTCCAAATATGCAGTCTTTTAGAACACCCAAGAAACAGCTTTTTGTATTTATTTGTCATAAATGACGGGAAAAATGTTTAAAGGTGTAAGTTTTATCGAAATTAATTTTTGAAAAATTAAAATGAAAAATATTGGCAAAAACTTTACAGAAAATATACAAGCGTATGTCCCGAGGAAAAAACATTTCCCAAGCAACTTTTCATGCAAAGTAAAGTAATGTCGAAAGTTTTAATACAGGGTGTTCCTGTTGCTTGGGATATATTTTTTTCAGATTTAAATTATCTTTGAAAATAAAAAAGTTACGTGGCATTGTTTAAATTGCAGAGTTTTCACAAGCGCCCTCTAGCAGCCAAACGAATGCATATAGCCAATTTTCGTTTGAGCCAGTGAGTTTTTCAATAAATTCGAGCCCCAAAACGGAGGTTGAAAATTTCCTATCTCTTCAAATGAGGTGTGTTCTCATAAAAAACAACTTGTTTGACCTACCCTGTACCTAAGTAGGGAGAAACAGGTTACAAAGATGTAATCTGTGCATATAGTGCTGGTCTCGGTGCTGGTAGAGATATTGTAAAAATATACTGATCCCAAAGAACCAGAAGTGTGGTAACCAACCGGCCAGATCTGAACCCAGTTGACTATACTTTACAAGAAATTTCGAGGGCCCTAGAGTATGATTGTCAATAGTTTACCACCATTAAAAATCTGGAGCGAAGGATGCTAATGTGAAAAAATTATGGCGATATTCCATATTTGTGTTATACACAGAGTGTACGGAAAGTAACAGGACGATACCTGAACGTTATTTGAGAAACTAAATCCAGAAATGGTATCGACACTGTTGCCAAAGTTTTTCTGAAGGCACACAATCTTTTTTATCCTAAACTCGATTTTAAATGAAACACACCAGTTATTTTACCTCAATCGATTACTGTTGTCTATTTATTATAAACTCGAAATGTCAGGTGACTGAAATTATCAATCTGGGAGAGTGGCAAACCATCAGCGTTCAAAACTAAGTAAATTTGTTGCATTCTTTGACCAAAGTGACCAAACCCTCAGGGGTAAGTTAACAGAATATATGGAGCATGGTAGGCCAGTTTCAAAATATTAGAAGCGATGTTTCCAGACTGATTAATTTCTCAGTAAGTACACTAAACTTTCAGTTTTAAATGAAACACCTCTCTAATTTTGCCTGCAATCCTTCGTTCTTCTCTTGAGAAAAAAAAAAACAAAATGGAAAACGACGAAATTTACGAGGCAATTTATTAGTCTAAGGCCCGGTTTATTCATCTTAAGATTGCATACCCGCCAGTTTATCAGAAGGTCAATAAACCGGCCCTTAGAGATATTACTGGTTTTAAAGCTAGATCTCTTGGATGGAAAAATGTTATTTTGAGAACCAAGGGCTATGTTAACGCATTTGGTAATAAAGGGGTCGATGGATTTTAAAAACACAATAAAATGTTTCCAGACATAACAATTATAATGCAAGATCGTACTCGAACATTGCAACTTTAAATTAAACGCCTCAATTAATATGACATTAGTCGATTGCTTGTTTATTTTTGTAAAAATAAAGAATTTCATAACAAGTTTAAATATTATTTGTGCCTGAGATATGAGGAGCAATGCATTAATAAACTTAACACAAAAATTCATGTGATGATTTTGAATTTTTTCGAATTTGCTCTAATCAAAGGTAAAAAAAGGCCTCCTTCCAATTATGAACGACGCGGCTTCTTTTTGTCATACCTACATCAATGATTTTTAAAAGGCGCGGTCTCCTACTTAACAGTGCTGTCTAACGTGACACGCAAAGTGTTAAGTGTTGAAAGAAAATAATCTTCTGTTTCCATGGCTACCAGTACTCATCTCAAAGCTGTTGATGCAATTTGACGTTAAGAAATTACCATACGTCTTTGCATTACATATTTTTGAGCCGTGAATAGTTAGCACCGTAACTTGTAGCACCTTTAATTTTTCCATGAGTTCTTGCCCTTTTGGAAAGAGTTCTATAGTTTTCAGTGCAGTCGAAGTTGGAAATTTTTAAAAAACAGAAATGTGGGTGCTAACTTCATGCCGCACCCTTAATTGATTTCAGAGGAGTTTAGACTACATTTCTTGGTCTAATACGGCTGTAAGCACTAGAGTTCTATAGTTCTTGATAAAATATAGATATTATAGTTCTGGACAAAAACAACAAAAAAGGCACATTACTTTTCAAAGTTATAACGATTCGGTATTTTAATATTAATTTATCAAAAATTACTTGGTATATCAGGGCTGCAAACTGGGAAAATGAGAGTTCTCAGCATCAAAGTGATACACTTTTATCAAAAATTTCTTTTCAAAGCATCAGGGGTGTTACTCGCTCAAAGCTGTATTTGATTTCCCTCTCGATTTCCCTAGTAGCCAGAACGTTAGTTCTCTGTGTGTTTTTGTTGAAGGTCTGAATAGCACTTTGTTAGTATTTCAATATTCTTTATGAAAAATCACTTATTAAAGCTGGAACTCAGGGGTGCTACTGGAAAGATGAAAGTTCTCCGTATCAAAGCGGTATTTCATTGCTCTAGTGACCAAAACGCGCATTCTCTATGGACTGTTTTCATAGTTCTGAATTGCACTCTCTAGTATTTGCTATTCTATTAATAAAAATTTACGTCGGACAATTCTGCCTTTTTTTGTTGTTGTTGTTCAGAACTACATCCATATTTTATCAAGAACTATAGTGCTTAGATCAATAAATGTTATCAGAACTCCTCTAAAACCCCTATGTTCGTGTTTTTTTTTTTTTTAATTTGAACTTCTAATGCAGAAATATTAGGAACTGCAACCGTCTGAGAACTTTAGAAGGCTAGTACATACCTAGATCAAGAAATGTAATCAGAACTCTTCTAAAATTAATTAAGGGTGCGGCATGAAGTAAGCTTTTCAATAATTTTCAACTTCTACTACAGAACTATAACTGCACCCCTCAGGTAACTATAGAGCTCTTTCCAAAAAGACAAGAGATCATTATATATTTGAGGGTGCTAACTGTTCACGGGTGTATTTTTGTGAGTTTTTAGTGTTTATAAATACTTCAGAATATTGAAGAACATATATCTCATACTAAGTCAGGAATACCACCTTTAGCAACAAATGTACAAAAGTCATTGGAAGTATTGCTATCATTCATCA